ACACACACACACACACACACACACACACACACACACACACACACACACCAGGGAATTGACACTGGAACAATACTGGTTAGGTTAACTACAGACCCTATTCAGATTTTGGCAGTTTGTACACGCCTTGGGGTGTGTATGTGTGTATGTATGGTTGTATTTCCGTTGTGTCACTGTGTCCCCTGTAGGCCCTTCCTGTCCTGGCTGTCCCCAGGGATGAAGTGAGCCTGGGCATCTTGGGCACTGGGTTTGTCAAGCCAGAGTTGCGCTCTGCTCCTCTGTTGGGATTCCACTGGGAGCTGGGTAGCGGTCAGCCGGGCTGGCTCTGATTCCACTCATTTCTTTCTCCTTCCTTTCTGGTTCAGATCATGTTTCACTCCTTTGGCAACAAGCAAGGGAGCCAGCATGGGATGCTCATCAACACCCCCTACGTGACCAAAGACCTGCTTCAGGCCAAGAGATTCCAGGCACAGTCCCTGGGGACCACCTATATCTACGACTTCCCAGAAATGTTCAGACAGGCAAGTCCTGAGCAGGGGAGGGGCGGGGTACCACCGCCAAGGGCTCCTATGACTCTTACCCCACCAGAACCCCGCCCTCCTGTTCCGTAGAACCCAGCAAAGAAGGTCTTTTGGGGACAAAAACAACAACAAAGTAGCTGGGTGCTGGTGGCTCACACCTATAATCCTGGCTACTTAGGAGCCTGAGATCAGAGGATTGAGATTCAAAGCCAGCCGGGGCAGGAAAGTCTGTGAGATTCTTATCTCCAATGAACCGGCAAAAAACAAAAACAGCCCAGAAGTGACACTGTGACTCAAAGTAGTAGGACACTAGCTTTGAGCCAAAAGAGCTTAGGGATAGCACCCAGGCCTTGAGTTCAAGCCCCATCACCACCACCGCCAACAAAGTGATACATTGGGAAAACGTACTTCCCCGTCTTATGCCAGAGTGCTGACATTTTAATGTGTCCTTCTAGTCCTTAGGCAGGTGCTTACTGCGGAGCCCTGCCTCCAGTCCTTTTTTGTTTTGCTCTAGTTATTTTGAGATAAGGTCTTATACTTGTTCATCTGACACTCTTAACATATAAGTCACCCCTCCAGCCCTGACTTCTGCTGTTTATTTTGGAGATGGAGTCTCAAGGACTTTCCTGCCCTGGCTGGCCTTGAACTTTGATTCTCCTGATCTCAGCCTCCTCAGTAGCTAGGGTTACAGGTGTGAGACACCAGCATCTGGTCCTTTTCATTGATACCCACCTGTAGTTTCTTATTTAAGAGGTTGAGGTAGGAAGATCACTTGAGCCCAGAAACTGAAAAACAAACGAACAACTCCTCCATCCCCCCCCAAACCTAGCCTGGGCAAGGAGCCATGAGAAACATAGTTCGACAAAACCACCTGCTGGGTGCTTAGGTGTTTATTATTCTGCATGTTTCTGGCATACTTTGCATATTTTATGACTGCAAATGAGAGAAAGAACTAGGCCGCTATGTCAGATGACATGATCATTAACTCTAGCTCCCCTACCGACACCTTTGGTTTCTTTTCCTCTTCTTTCCCTTCCTCAGGCTCTCTTTAAACTCTGGAGCTCCCCAGACAAATACCCCAAAGATATCCTGACATACACGGAGTTAGTGTTGGGCCCTCAGGGCCAGCTGGTAGAGATGAACCGACTTCCTGGAGGAAATGAGGTAGGAGCTGGGCAGGTCTCAGCCCTGGGCTGGAGTCAGCCTTTTCCCACTGATTCCCAGGAGACACACAGCTGCTTCCCGGCCCCTTTTACCCCTGCCAGGTGGGCATGGTGGCCTTCAAAATGCGGATGAAGACCCCGGAGTACCCAGAAGGGCGGGATGTGGTTGTCATCGGCAACGACATCACCTTCCGCATCGGGTCCTTCGGCACCGGGGAAGACCTTCTGTACCTGCGGGCCTCTGAGCTGGCCCGGGCGGAGGGCATCCCCAAAATCTACCTAGCAGCCAACAGCGGGGCCCGCATTGGCCTGGCAGAGGAGATCAAACACATGTTCCAGGTGGCCTGGGTGGATCCAGAAGACCCCCACAAAGTACGTCATGAAGTGGGGGTGCCATTCAATGGGTGGATCATCCCTAAAAGAAAGCAAAGAAACAGGCAAACAGTATATTGGTGATATTAAAATTTTATTAAGAGGTGGCAATTAGTGGATAAAATAATCCACAAAGGCTTTTTTTTTTATCAAAGCCAGGTCAGTGTCTCATGCCTGTAATTATAACTACTCAGGAGATTGAGAACTGCAAAAAGTTAAGGAGACCTCATATCAACTAAAGAAAAGCTGGGTTTGGTGGTGCATGCCTCGTCATCCCAGCCACAAGGGAAACATAAATCGGAGGACTGTAGCCTAGGCAAAAAGCAAGATCCTATTTGAAAAAGAATGGAAGCAGCAAAAGATGAGTCTATGGCTGAAGTGGCTGAGCACCTGCTTAGCAAGTATACCAGGCCCTGCATTCAAACCCCAACACCCTAGTTTTTTTTGTTTTTGTTTTAGTGTCTTTAATCCTCCTTTGGCGGGAGAGGGTAATAATGACAAAGACCTTCATAAATACTGAGCTGATCTGCACAGGGCAGCTTCTAGATGCTGTGCACCCGGAACACAGACACAAACACACAAACATACACACAACCCAACCCAAACACAAACCAAATACACACAAACTCTACCCAATCCAACACACATACAAACTCAGCACACCCACACAAACCCAACACACAGACACATACCCAGCCTCAGTGTACACACACACCACAGACTCAACACACTAAAATAAATATACATACAATCTCAATTTACACACACAAACCCAACACACATACCCAACTCTAGTGTACAGACACACAACCCCAATGTGTACACACACAAACAAACCCAACATGCAAACAATATATACACATAAAACACACAAGAAACTCAACACACACAAACTAATGTACACACAAATAGACAAACCCACATACGCGCATGCGCACATACACACATGAGTGTCTAAGCAGTCTGTATACAGGCCACAGCCCATACTGAGAGCAGACCTGTGGTTTATGAGGCTTGCTAATGTAGGTTGACACATTATGAGTATCCACCCCTCTAGTGTTGCCATTTCAAATGCCATAGTAGCTGGGCGCTGCTGGCTCACACCTGTAATCCTAACTACTCAGGAGGTTGAGATCTGAGGATCACAGTCCAAAGCCATTCTGGGCAGGAAAGTCTCCATGAGATTCTTATCCCTAATGAACCACCAGAAAACCAGAAGTGGTACTGTGGCTCAAAGTGGTAGAGCGCTAGCCTTGAGCAGAAGAGCTCAGCGACAACACCCAAGCCCTGAGTTCAAGTCCCATAACTGACAAAAACAAAAAAACTACACAGTGGCTGTCACTCCGGGCAGCTAGACTCCTAGGCTCACTGAAGTATATTTCTTAAGGGCTTTAAGTACCTGTACCTGACCCCCCAAGACTACACGCGAACGAGCTCTCTGAACACCGTGCACTGCAGACACGTCGAGGAAGGAGGAGAATCCAGGTAAACAGCCTGCCAGGCACCCTGACACTTGTTCCTGGTTTTGCATCCAAAAGGAGTGAGCCCTTTCTCCTGCTCATTGCGCAGGGAAAGTCAGGCGGGATTCTCTCCATGTCCAAGGAGCCAGAGGCTCACGGTTTATGATTCATTATCCAGATGGATGCAGGTGGGTGAAGATGGGGATTCTGTTCTTTGAGAATCACCAGTGGCTTCCCTATTTTTTTTTTTCTTGGGTAGGATAGACCACATCAGAATTTTCCAGACGTGATTTTTTTTGAGTGTTGGTGATATGTGCAGGAGGAAAATTTAAAACAAAGTAGAGTGTATAAAGGAGTTTGGGAGGCACAGAGTCAAGTCTAACAAAGTCTCTTTCCGGTAGGCCTTTTCAGAGCGATTGTTGAGCTGAAGTGCTTGGTGAATTTGAATAGGGTCCGACTACATGGTATACTTAATGTTTGTGTCTTGTGTATTTGCCGTCCTGGGGCTTGAACTCTGGGCCTGGGCACTCTGTCCCTGAACTGTTTATCCCAAGGCTAGTGCTCTTACCAATTGAGCCACAGCTCTTCTTCCAGCTTTTTTGGTAGTTAGTTGGAGATAAGAGTCATGGACCTTCCTCCCTGGGCTGGCTTTGAGCTGCAATCCTCAGATCTCAACCTCCTGGGATGCTAGGATTACAGATGTGAACCACCGGCATCTGGCAGTCTATTTCTTTTTTTTTTTGTCGGTTGTGGGGCTTGAACTCTGGGCCTAGGCGCTGTCCCTCAGCTCTTCAGCTCAAGGCGAGTGTTCTACCACTTGAGCCACAGCACCACTTCCAGTTTTCGGAGTGGTTTATTGGAGATCAGAGTCTCACGGACTTTCCTGCCCCAGGCTGGCTTTGAACCTCGATCCTCAGATCTCAGCCTCCTGAATAGCAGGCGTGAGCCACCAGCGCCCGGCTGTCTACTTCATATTTTGTGGCCATGGAATCTAGGTTGATTGACTGATCATTGAGTCAGCAGCTTCTCATGTGTGCCCCCATCTCGGTACAAGGCCACATGCTAATCTAGATTGTTCTGCGGAAATGCGGATGTGGATGATCTTTCACAGAGAGCCTCTAGAGGGCTCACGTCTTTGTCTGGGAGAGGAGTCGCTGCTGACTTTTCAGAAATGTTAGTGCCCATTGTGAGGGCTCTAGCCCTCTTTCTTTCATTCTCTCTCTCTCTCTCTTTCTTTCTCCTTCCTCCTTTTGTAAAGTTTTACCTCCATTTATCCTGTTCCAATACTTCTTCCTACTCCTGGCTCCTGCCATGAGTACCACGAACGAATGTACTGACCCCAGACATTGCCAGGCAGAGCGCAGTCTAACCCGCCTCCGATTCTTGCAGGTACGTAGTCACCGACATTATTGGGAAGGACGACGGCCTGGGTGTGGAGAATCTCAGGGGCTCTGGCATGATAGCTGGGGAGTCCTCCCTGGCTTACGACGAGATCGTCACCATTAGCATGGTGAGTCCCCTCTTTAGTCCCTCTTTGTTTCCCTGTTCACCTGTCAAACCATCACAAAGCAGGGAGAAAGAATCGGGAGCCACTCGTGCCAATCACCAGCAATACCTGTTGTCAACGCTCAGCCATTCTTGTCTCCCAACATTCCCCCTCGGACTTACTTACTCATGATTCTTCAGGGTTTTCCTCTCCTTTTTTGATGAATTGGTTAACGAAAGAAGCAGTTGTCTAAGTTGGACTTGAACTCGTTATGCAGCCCAGGCTGGCCTCCAACTCTTGATCCTCCTGCCTCTCAGCCTCCCAAGGGCTGGGATTATAGGAATAAGAGGAGGGGCTGGAGTCCCAGGGTCCTCTTCATGGCCTTGCTGCCAAGGCTGTAACACATAGCCATTGGAGGACACTTGAGAACACAGTATCCGGAGCCAAGCTCTGAGCGGTGTCTTGAAGAATAAATAGCCTCTTGCCTGGCTGTGTGGGCCTACGTCAGGTTGCCACTGGCTAAAACCTAACTTTCATTTGTGCCCAACAGGGTCTTGAACTCTGCCCGCTGAGGGTGGAGTCCTTGTGAAGGGGTTCTGTCTCCACAGGTCACCTGCCGAGCCCTGGGCATTGGGGCCTATTTGGTACGCCTGGGCCAGAGGGTGATTCAGGTGGACAATTCCCACATCATCCTGACGGGCGCGAGTGCCCTCAACAAGGTGACAAGATGGGGCCTCAGGGCCATTTGTAGTTGTCTGGGGGCCCTCATGATCCCAAATAAGTTATTCTTCTTCTGGAACTAAGCTCCTGATTTACTTTTTTTTGGGTGGGGGGAAGCAATGCTAGTGGTGATGGTCCTGGCATTTGTGAACTCAAGGCCTCACACTTGCCAGACAGACAACTCCGCCATCTACCCCAGGGATCATACCCCAGTTCCTTCTGCTTCCATTACTTTGCAAATAAGATCTCGCTTTTGGTCTGGTTGGTCTAGACCGTGAGCCTCCTGTTTAGGATTCCCGTGTTACCTAGGTTGATGGCACATGCCACTACACCCAGCTTTTTTTTTTTTAATTGGTTGAAATGAGGATTTTTATGACCTTTTTGCCTGAGCTGGCCTCGAACCCCAGTCCTCCTGATCTCTACCTTTCAAGTCGCTAGGATTACAAGTGTGAGCCATCATGCCCCACTACTCTTGTCTTTTTTATTTATTTTTATTATTATTTTTTTGGGGGGGGTCCAGTCGTGGGGCCTGAACTCTGGGCCTGGGTGCTGTCCCTCAGCTCTTCAGCTCAAGGCTAGTACTCTACCACTTGAGCCACAGCGCCACTTCCGGCCTTTTCTGCTTATGTGGTGCTGAGGAATCGAACCCAGGGCCTCATGCATGCAAGGCAAGCGCTCTACCACTGAGCCACCTCCCCAGCCCGTCTTTTTTACTTTTTAACTTTAAAGTTGTATTATACTTTGCAGAGAAAGACCTCCAAAGCAATGTTGGTGCTTCTATACTTTTGGTGCAATACTCTCCTGTGTTCTGCATTCCCATGGTTAACTTTAGTGACTGTGCAGTTGTTTTGAAACACTGAAAGGTTTTCTGCATTGCTGTGCTGTCCCCATAGCTAATGCCTGCCCAGACCCAGGAAGGGGCTCCAAGTCAGGCTCTGAGGGAGGTTTTGGGAGACAATGGTCTTATGTATCTCAGGCGAGGCTTGTACTCACTACCGAGCCCAGGCTGGCCTAGAACACATGACCCTCTACCTGAACCTTCTAAGCTCTGGGATTTCAGGCATGGCCACTACATCCGGCTACAACATCAGAAAACTCTGAGATGACGTCGTAAAGTTCGTTTTTGACATAACGACTTGTACATCTCATTGTTGCAATGGGTCCACCTGTATCCCTATTTAAACGATTTGTTTTTCCCTTCCCCTCCACAAATTATACCAACATCAAATACAGTGAAAGCAGGGGTTATACCGTGGGGGAGGAACATACAAAGGAACAAAGAAATAATCTTATAAATGTGTTAGAAACAATCACATGAAAAAAAAACATTTGAATACATATCTTAGGGTTCATTTCCCTAACATCACCTTATCTGACCTTTTCCGCTTGACTCAGACATATACTAGATATTGCAAATAAGGGAAACCATGGGACCTATGTTTCTTTGGGTCTGGCTTACTTCACTTAATATAATTTTTTCCAAGCCTTTCCATTTCCTAACAAATGGGGCAATGTCATTCTTTCTGATGGAGGCATAGAATTCCATTGTGTATATATACCACATTTTCTTGATCCATTCATCTACTGAGGGGCATCTGGGTTGGTTCCATATCTTAGCTATAGTAAATAATGCTGCAATAAACATAGTTGTGCAGGTAAAAAAAAAAAGAAAAGAAAAGAAAACTCTGAGATGAGTTGCATGGGAAAAAAAAAAAGAAAGATTGCCTGGCGCCGGTGGCTCACACCTGTCATCCTAGCTACTCAGGAGGCCGAGATCTGAGGATCATGGTTCAGAGCCAGCCAGGGCGGGAAAGTCCATGAAACTCATTTCCAATTCACCACCAGAAAACCAGAACTGGCACTGTGGCTTAAGTGGTAGAGCGCTCACCTTGAGCTGAAGAGCTCAGGGATAGCGCCCAGGCTCAGAGTTCAAGCCCCATGACCAACAACAACAACAAAAATGATGACATTGGTCACAGATGCCTGGGGGCTCCCTGTAAAGATTCTGACGTGGCCAGCCTGGGTGCAGTCTGGGTGAGCGGATTTTCTAACACTCACAGCTGATTTCAACGTGCAGCATGAATGGGGGACCCGTGAGCGAGCGGCTGTGCGGTAGGCTGAAGGCCTGAGCTGTGCAGGACTTTCTAACCATGTTGGGTGAAAGCAGGTCCTGGGAAGAGAGGTCTACACGTCTAACAACCAGCTGGGTGGCGTGCAGATCATGTACCACAACGGCATCTCCCACATCACGGTGCCCGATGACTTTGAGGGCGTCTATACCATCCTGGAGTGGCTGTCCTATATGCCAAAGGTACGGCATGCCCCTGGCAGCTCCGCCTGGGAGACCCTGCGGTCAGGCTCATGTGCTGATCGGTATCCATGTCACTTCCGGGGTGGAGCTGGAAGTGCTGCCATGTATCTGGGTTAGGTTTGCTTTTCCTTTCTCTCTCTTTTTTCCTTCCTTCCTTCCTTCCTTCTTTGTTTCTTTCTTTTTGGGTCCAGTTGTGGGGCCTGAACTCTGGGCCTGGGTGCTGTCCCTCAGCTCTTCAGCTCAAGGCTAGCGCTCTACCACTTGAGCCACAGCACCATTTCTGGCTTTTTCTTTTGGTTTATGTGGTGCTGAGGAATCGAACCCAGGGCCTCATGCGTGCAAGGCAAGCGCTCTACCACTGAGCCACCTTCCCAGACCCATCTTTGTTTCTTTCTTTCTTTGTCTCTCTTTCTCTATCTGTCTCTGTCTCTCTTTCTTTCTTTTCTAACTGGGGGGCTTGAACTCAGGGCCTGGGTGCTGTCCCTGAGCTCTTTTGCTCAGGGCTAGCTCTCCACTACTATGATCCATAATGCCACTTCCAGTTTTTTGGTGGTTCCTTGGAGATTAGTGTCTCAAGGACTTCCCTTCTCAGGCTGGTTTTAAACTATGATCCTCAGATCTCAGCCTCCTGAGTAGTTAGGGTTCAGGAGTAAGCCACCAGTGCCAGGCCCAGGTTTGCTTTTCCTCCTTCCCCTTTTCCCTCTCTGATCCTGTCCTAACCCTAAACCTCGCTGTTTTGGTGGCACAGATGTGTCACCCTCAGGATGCTGTCTGCTGGTCCTTTACGAAGGGTGAGGCTGCTTCTCAACAGAGGCAGCACTGGGTAGCAGAGCCTACCCAGCCTGGAGTGGATTCTTGGCTTCCTCATCAGGAAAAGTGTGGTCCTGGACTTCTTCTTATCTTCCTGAGCCTCAGTTTCCTCATCTATGAAATGGGATCAATCTGATAATGACATGAAATGATGCTCAGGGCTCAGACTTGGTGGCCCCAGACAAAGGCTGTTTCTGATTGGTGGAGAATTGGTTTGGCCAGGAGGCACTAGTTTGTGCCTCACAGCAATTTCTGAAAGGCTAGTTTCTGCCCTTCTACAGCTGTAGCCTCTCCTGCCTTTTATTCCCTTCCCGTCTCCATCGAATCCATCTGTATCCAGAAGAACACTCAGGTGTCCAAGAATCTAGATTTCAAGAGAATCTATGGGCAATCCATCTTTGCATTTTCCAACCAGAACAGCAGTCTCAGAAGCCCTAGGGAGAGGATAGCACTGCATAAGTAGGCATAATCATAGCCAGAGGAGGAGCCTGCACACACAGTGGGCATTGCTGACAAGGGCTGGGGACTGAGCTGCACACCTGACTTTTGTTCCCAGGATAATCGCAGCCCAGTCCCCATCATCACACCCACGGACCCCATCGACAGAGATGTGGAGTTTGTCCCATCCAGAGCTCCCTACGATCCCCGGTGGATGCTTGCGGGAAGACCTCACCCAAGTAAGTGCTCGAGTATTTTGCCAGGGCCCTGGGACTCAGGTTTCTTTTCTAGGCCTGGGGAAAAGGAATTAGGTGGAAGCAGAGATATTCATCCCCTTGTCCCAGAGGCTGACAGGAGTGAGGGAAGGGAGATTTGACTCCACGCTTCTTCTGAGCTGCAGACCAACAAGAGCTGGAACCGCTCATTTCTGGAATCAGTAGACAGAGCTGAGACCCGACAGCGGCCATAGCCTCCCTCCCCAACCTGCTCTGGCGTCTTCCTTCCCTCCCTGTCTCTCTCCCTCTCTGTGTCCCTCCCTCTCTCCCTCTTTCCCCGTCTCTCTGTGTTTGGCTGAGCTCTTACAAAAGGTACTTAGCTCCCCAGGATGCGTATCTGCTTCCAAAACACACACATGCGCACACCTGTTCCCTCTCGCCCCCTCTGAAAGGGACGTTGCTGTTTCCTGAAGCTCTGATCCTCCTTCCCCGCCACCGTAGCCCAAGTGTAGAATTCCCCATACCACCGCCTGTGGACACCCGTCTGTCCCTCCAGCCGTGCAGTGCGGGAGTACAGGCGCCCCAGCCTCTGGCCAGCAAAAGAAACGGCACCGCCTTCCACTTCTGGGGAGACATTTCTCCCTCTTAGAGCTCGGTTGAAAAGCATCACTGACTGACAGTGCTTCTCCATCAGTGTGGGCCCGCCCTGAGGCAGGGACTGAAGCAGGGCACACGTTGCCCGGCCTGGCTCTCCTCTCCTCCTCATGGCAGCCACACATGCCATGCTGTGGTTCTAAGGCACCGGCGGCAGCTGTGACCGGGGTTGGCGCCCCGTCCTGTGTCTCTGCCTCTGTGGATACCAGGGGCTCAAAGACCATATTCTCAGCTCTGATGCCAGGGAGGACATGGAATGAATTTTCCAGGGCCCAGTGGTCTTTCCCGAACCCCCACCTCCAGGACAGCAGCAGGCAGGACTGTGGTTAGCCCCTCAGACGATCTGGTGTTGACAGATGCAGAGTCAGATGTTCCAGAAAGGTCTAGAGGAGGTTTTGCCGCCATGGGTGGCTGGGTTTTGTGTGGCTTGGAGAGGGCTGGGATTGCCTGGCTGTGGCGCGCAAAGGGCACATGGCTGAAGACATTGAAGTCAGCTGTGCCACCGGGGGCATCCTGGGGCCCTCACCCGCCCCAGCTCAGCCCAGCCTCTGCCCTCCCGCCTGCAGCGCTGAGCGGGGCTTGGCAGAGTGGATTCTTCGATCAGGGCAGCTTCAGGGAGATCATGGCGGCCTGGGCCCAGACGGTGGTGACGGGCCGAGCGAGGTGAGTGGGGGCCGCACCCCGGGGTTCCCAGCCCATTGCCGGAATGTTCCTGGAACCCAGCGGGGCCTGTGTGTGTCAGGCAAGTAAGTGTCCTACCCCTGAACCCCACCCCGGCCCTCCGCCAGCCTGTTTCTCAGCAGTGCAGCCCCCAGCCCACCCAGAAGTGCCTGTGGCCCTTTTGGGGGTGCCTCCCAGCTCCCATCCGCCCTCCTTGCAGGCTGGGGGGCATCCCCGTGGGCGTCATCGCCGTGGAGACGCGGACGGTGGAGGTGGCCGTCCCTGCCGACCCCGCCAACCTGGATTCCGAGGCCAAGGTGAGGGACGGGGAAGCCGTGGCCGCCGCCTGCGGCCCGGCCCACAGAAGCGCCTGGCCAGGGAGGAGGGTGGACATGCAGAGGACTCGTGGGAGCTCTGCCTGTCCCTCCTGCAATCCCTCCATGGGGCGCGTGACACTATACGCTGTCCCGCAGTCCCCTTCCTGTGTGCCCCCCTCCCGGGCGCAGCCAGGCTGAGACTGTGCGGTTTGCTTAGCAGGGCGTCACTGATGGCCCATGTGGGGCCAGAGGGCCCCTTGGCCCCTTGCTGGGCTGCGGCAAGGGTCTCGTGAGGGCCAGACAGATGCGCTTTGGGCCCTCCTTGAGTCCCGGCTCAGGAGTCGCAGGCCACAAGGGTCAGGTAGCATGGGGCGGGGCTGTGGCCCCCTGACCCCGGGGCGCTGCTGTGTGACCCAGGCCGTTCTGGGTTTCAGATCATCCAGCAGGCCGGCCAGGTGTGGTTCCCGGACTCCGCGTACAAAACAGCGCAGGCCATCAAAGACTTCAACCGGGAGAAGCTGCCCCTGCTGATCTTCGCCAACTGGAGGGGCTTCTCCGGAGGGATGAAAGGTAAGGGTTCTGCACCCGGTGCCCGCACCCCAGCCTTCCATTCACCCTTCACCCCTGCCAGCCAACAGCCCCACCCAGAGGCCCAACGCCACCATTGCGTAGATGAGGGGCCCAGCAGAGTGGGCTGGTTTTTGTTTTGTTTTTTTGGTTGGTTTTGTTGCGGTCAGTCCTGGGGCTTGAACTCCGGGCCTGGGCGCTGTCCCTGAGCAATTTTGTTCAAGGCTAATGCTCTACCACTTTGAGCCACAGCACCACTCCTGGTTTTCTGTGGTTCATTGGAGATAAAGAGTCTCATACACTTCTCCTGCCTGGGCTGGCTTTGAACCACCATCCTCAGATCTCAGCCTCCTGAGTAGCTGGGATTACAGGCGTGCGCCACCAGCACTGGCTCCACATGTTCTTATCGTGACTGTGGCGGGTGGGTGGAGGGAAGTATCTGGATGGCATGTGAGGGCTGGGCTTCCTGTGGGCGAGGACAGGGGTCTGTGTCATAGTCTCAAAGGGACCCGGTGGGGACAGTCACCACAGAGCCAGACCCTGCCAAAGAGAGGTGTGCAGGCCTGGCCCTGCCCTGACTCCCCTCCAGGGCCCGTAGCTGGACATGCTCTCAGGGCCCTGGGACCCCTCCCCCCCTCCCCCCGAGGCCTCATGGGTGGGCGAGTGTGGGCTGTGAGCCCGAGCAGGCCTTCCTTTGCAGACATGTACGACCAGGTGGTGAAGTTCGGGGCCTACATCGTGGACGGCCTCCGGCAGTACACACAGCCCATCCTCATCTACGTGCCCCCCTACGCCGAGCTCCGCGGGGGCTCCTGGGTGGTCCTCGACTCCACCATCAACCCCCTGTGCATCGAAATGTATGCGGACAGGGAGAGCAGGTGGGTATACGGCCCTGCTGGGGACCACAGGGAGTGATCCGGGCTTGGAGGACAGCAGGCTCTGGACTCACCAACCAAGGCAGTGCGTGCCTTTAAGAGCTGGAGACATTGTCTTTGAGCTGGAGACATTGTCTTTTCCTATTCACCTCCTTCCCCAGGAAGGTTGCAATTTAAAAAAATAAATAAAATAAAAAGGAAAGACCAGGCATGCCTGAGCTTCCTGGAAGCCAAGATGAAAAGAGAAATACAAGTTAGGACCCTCTCACTAGACTCTGGGTCTAGTATGGTATGTGACTCCTGTCAGATGGGCTGGAGATACTGGCTGGACAGATGACTGAACAATGATGCACGCCAGGATACTGTCTTCATGGCACAGAACCCTTTGGCCCATCCTTTGGGGGAGAGGGGCGTGGATTTTTTGGCAGCAGGTCTTTTTAGAGAGGAGGGTGACAGAAATGCCTACAGCCCAGGGAATGCTGCTTTCAGAGTGAACACGCTGCGTCAGGCTGTGACGGATGTAAAGGGTTGCAGAGTAGTTCTCCCTAAGATGTAGTTCACAGCTTCATCCGCCGAGCCAGTGGATTTGAGTGCCTACTATGCGCCAGGCTTTTCGTTGCGAGTTGTGGTATGGTGGCGCATGAGTCGGGCCTGTCGAGCGTTGGTGCCCAGGTGTCCTCATGGGTTGCTGTGGACCTCAGTCCTCCAGGGTGATTCGGGATCTTGAGCCACATTCAAGTAGGATGGGTATTCACTTTTCACTCTGGCCACTAGGAAGCTCAGTGTGGTACTCCTCCAGGCTAATGGGAAGAAAGAAGCCAGGGACCCTGCGGGGTGAGTGACAAGGCTAGGAAGAGGAAGCCACTTATTTGGGGCCACAGTGAGCACTCCCTGTGTCTCATGAGCACTAAGGAGACTAGGAACTGTGTCTTGGTCTTAGGAGAGCTGAAGTTAGCAAAGTCAGGAAGGGTGAAGTCCAAAGATTTCAAGTCACAGAGAAAAGCGAAGGACTCTGTCAGGTTCAAGAAATAGTGATTGAAAGAGTTGATCAGCCCTTCCCTCTGCAGATAGAGACCCAGAGGGCCAGAGAGGGGAAGGGATGCATGCAGAGATGCACAGCTTCTGGGAGGAGGCGCTGAGGACCGATATGGGAACCTCTCGTGTCCACCCTCCCCGAACTGGAGCTGGGGAGACCATGCCTCCCACACCCAGCCCACTTGGTCTTGTCCAGAGCGGGGGTTCTGGAGCCGGAAGGCACGGTGGAGATTAAGTTCCGAAGGAAGGACCTGGTAAAGACCATGAGAAGGATCGACCCGACCTACAAGAAGCTTGTGGAACAGCTGGGTAAGAGAGGCTCAGGGGCAGCTCCTTGTAGAGGCCGGCAGGCGCCCGTCGGGCCCGCGGCTGGTAGGTTTTGGTATGTTAAAGATAGAAGATAGAGGAATGGGAGTGTGGATCAGGTCAGGTAGAACGTAAGGCTCTGGATTCAAATCCCAGTGCCACAAACAAATAAATACAAATTTCAAAATAAAATGAGGATCCAAAAACAGATGTAATACTTGAGAGATTCTCAAATGGTTCTCATTTCCCAATCTGCCTTTGAAACGAGGGGGGGGAGGAGGGGGGAGGCTGAGCCCAGCAGTTCACTCCTGTAATCCCAGCTACGTGGAAAACAAAGGTAGGAGTAGTACAATGCCCCAATCCAATGCACGTCTACCCACAGCAATGGATGATGGTATTCTGGAAAGTTCTGGCCAATTGAAAGCTGAGGCCCACACCTCCTGGGGCCAAGCCTGTCCCACAAACTTGTTAGTCCTCCAGGGGGGGGGACGGTCCCCCACCCCTGCCATCCTGACCCGCTTGTGTACCGCTGGCTGGCAGGGATGTCTCAGCTGTCCGATGAGGACCGGAAGGACCTGGAAGCCCGGCTGAAGGCGCGGGAGGAGCTGCTTCTCCCCATCTACCACCAGGTGGCGGTGCAGTTCGCCGACCTGCACGACACGCCGGGCAGGATGCTGGAGAAGGGCGTCATCTCGGTAAGGGCCTCTGAAAGTCACCGGGTTTCTGGAGGAGGCCTGGGCTCAGGCTTTGGGCCGTGGGTGTTTTCCAGGTGTGGGGCCCCCTAGTCTAACCTGTGCCACTTGGGAGAGGTTCAGAAGCCAGGTCTCCTGCCGCATCTGCCCAAGTCCTGCCCTAGCACCTTGCCTCCCTGGCACAGGCCTGTGTCGGAGGGCGGAGGGCTGCCAGGCCGGGGCAGGCACCAGTCAAGTGCATTTCATACTTGGCCCTGCAGTGCCAATGCGTCCTGGACTCTGTGGGGCAGGTGCATCGCCCCGGAGGGCACAGGTGGCTCCAGGGCCCCGCCCGCTCTTTTATCCCTGTCTCCAGGACGTGCTGGAGTGGAAGACCTCGCGGGCCTTCCTGTACTGGCGGCTGCGCCGGCGGCTGCTGGAGGACCAGGTGAAGCGGGAGGTCCTGCAAGCCAGCAGCGAGCTCAGTCACGACCACGTGCAGTCCATGCTGCGCCGCTGGTTCGTGGAGACCGAGGGCGCCGTCAAGGTGGGTCCTGGGCAGTGGGGGGCAGGGGGGGGGACGCCGGGCACTGGGGACTTGGGGAGACCCTGATGCCCAGCAGCCCGTCTAAGCCACACCCATGCCCCCCCCTTCCCCAGGCCTACCTGTGGGACAACAACCAGGTGGTGGTGCAGTGGCTGGAGCAGCACTGGCTGGAGGGCGAGGGCCTGCGCTCCACCATCCGCGAGAATATCAAGTACCTCAAGCGGGACTCGGTGCTGAAGACCATCCAGGGGTGAGTGGCCCGCGCCGGCCTTGGCTTCTGGCTACTCCAGTGTAGCCAAAAAGCTACAAATGTAGCCAGATGGGCCCCCAAATGTTGGGGCCCCACCTAGAAGGCCCCCAACTTTGAAATCAGGGTGTGGTTCCGTTCCCCAGAGCCTCTTCCCTGCTCTGAGGACTATGTCCTAAAAAAAAGAAAGTGACCAGGTCCTTCTCCGTTCCCCCTCCCCCCCCCCCCCCCCCCCCCCCCCCCCCCCCCCCCGTCCCCTCAGTCTGGTTCAGAAAACTCCCGAGGTAGCGGCGGACTGCACCATCCACCTGAGCCAGCAGCTCAGCCCTGCCGAACGTGCGCAGGTGGTGAAGCTGCTGACCAGCGCCGAGCGGCCCGCATCCACCTGAGCCAGCGGCCCGCCAGCTCCAGGACCCCGGTGACAAGCCACGCCACGCCCGCGTGCTGACCCCCCGCGGGCCCCCTGCCAGGACCTGAGGGTTTTGTTTGCTCTTAAAAAAAAATCAAAAGGAAAAGCAAGCAGCAATGCTGACCCTTGTGCTGGCACAACTGCTGGGTCCCGCCCACTGCCGCCAGCCAGAGGCCCCCTTCCTGCAGGGCGCCCCTCTCCGCACTTGGGGGGCAGGGGGTGATTGGCTGGGGGGCAGGGAGACTGGGGGCAGAGCTCCATGACTTTTCAGCTCCTTTCCTGTCACACGGGGGCATCGTTTATTCTCAGATTTTTTTTTTTAACTCCAAGACTGGCACTTGAAAGCATGTCTCACTTCTTTTAGCTGCGTACACGGGGAAGACCAAGGGGGAAAATCAATCTATTTTTGTAACAAGGCCCATCAGATACTGCCCGCTCTTAGACCCAGGAAAGGGCCTGAGTGGTTTAGTATTATTTTTATTATTTATTATTAAGAGAATAAATGGCATTTCATTCCTCAAGTGAATCACAGCGGCCGTCCTGTTGGCAGCCAGAGCCATGAACGTGTTGGCGTTCTCTGTTTCTGAGAGCGAGCTGCGGTGCCATGAGCCTGAGGTCAGCCGGAGGAGGCTCCCCGGGTCTGCCTGTCCTTGTTACCCCCAAATTAGCCAGGATCGGCCCCTCACGGTCACCCCTGTGAAATCCGCCACCACGCCTGCCTGAATTGAGAGGGCAGAGGCTATGAGACCTTCTCCCTGCTCACAGCCCGGCTTCGATGACCTCCGCCATCCCGTGGAGGGTCCCTATGGCCGCCATGGGGTCTGGCACGGACAGGCAGAGCCATCGGGCACCAGGGTCTCTGGGGACAGGAGAGTTTTGTGGCCACCACAGGGCGCAGAGGGCTGCGATTCTCCCACCCAGGCCTGTAGGGGGGGCGGGGGCCTGCGGTGTGAAGATGGAGCAAAGGAGCGTGACGTGGGCCCGTGTGCAAATCCTGTGAAGCCGCCACAAGCCAGGATGCTCGAGGACGTCTGAGCTCAAAATGCAACGTGTGTGGCCATCAGCCAATGACAGCCCTGGCCGATGAGATGGTGGGCGGGGAGGGGTGGAGGGACACTGGGCCCGGTAAGAGATGCTGCGCTGGGAAGCAAAGACAAGCCAGTGAGCAGCTGCTACCCTGAATCGGTGGGCGGCGGCCCAGCCTGCCAGGGGCCCTGCGGAATAAACTATTTTTTGAAGGAAACACTTTGACCTTGACTTACTATAAGGGCCAGCTCTCCATCTTCACACATCAGCCGAGATCTGGAGGATGCTCTGTCTCTCCAGCTAGGGGGCAAGGCAGGAGTGGAGGAATGCCGAAGACCCATTTCCAGTTCTCAAAAATCTTCCCCTTTGCCAAGCCCCAGAAGGCACCAGCGAAACGCTAGCCCCCCCTCCCCAGCTTTCATGTTCCCCATCATCTTCATTCATCTCTGCTCTGTAACCGGACAGGAGGCTCAGAGAGATGAAGAGGCAAGGCCGCGGTCACACAGGAACGGGACTGGGACACTAATCAAGTCTGTTGGATGGCAGGGTCTAATCGCTTCCTTCGGCATGGGTTGATGGTGTGGTCAGTTTGGAACTGGCACAGATCCAACCTTCACTATTATTTTTTTTTGTTGGTCGTGGGGCCTGAACTCTGGGCCTGGGCGCTGTCCCTCAGCTCTTCAGCTCAAGGCTGGCGCTCTACCACTTGAGCCACAGCACCACTTCTGGCTTTTTCTCCTTATGTGGTGCTGAGGAATCGAACCCAGGGCCTCATGCATGCAAGGCAAGCGCTCTACCACTGAGCCACCTTCCCTGCCCCAGATCCAACCTTCAAATGACCCTTATCCTTTCCCCCCCACCTGAGGCTGTTCAGTAGCTCGCCAAAACACGTGCCAATTAGGCCTTTTATTCTGCCAGGATTTTTTTTTCCCCTTGGCACATAGGAGTGTTTCAACTCCTTGTGGCCACTGAACTAGGGGCCTCAAGCATGCAAGTATGCATTGAACTCAGGGCCTTGAACTTTCAAGGCTGGTGTTTTCCTGCTTGAGGCTTGCCTCCAGCTTGGCTTTTTGCTGATTATTTTTGGAGACAGAGTCTTGTAGACTTCTCTGTCGAGCCTGCCTTTGAACTACAAGCTTCCAGATCTCAGCCTCCTGAGGATTATAGAGGTGAGCCGCTGGGACCTGACCTGTAATTTTGTTCCTGAGATAGGGTCTCTCTCATTTTCGCCTAAGCTTGCGTAGAACTGATGCTCCTCCTTTCTCTACCTCCTCCCCGGAAGCTGGGATTACAGGTGTGCACCATTCTGCCTGACATTGCTCTCTACACCTGCCGCCCCTCACGCCTCAGAGAGGGGAAAACAGACCCCACCTGGGCGCTCACTGCTCTGTCTCAGCTTCTGTGGTTCGCCCAGATGCTGCTGCCCTGACTGCCAGCCCCACATGCCCCACCCTTCCGCCTTCCCTCCCTCCCACTTCCGGTATATTCTGTGGTGCTGCCAGCCCGCTCATGGCGGACCCTTCTAGCCCATGGAGGAAGCAGCAGTGGCCTGCCGCAAGGCTCATCCTGGCGAGCAGGGACCTGAGGTATGTCAGCCTGTCTTCCCCACCTATGCCCCAGCCCTCCATGTCACCTTTCAACCCCCTGCGCAAAAGTAGGGGGCTCCTTTGGTCTGAGTTGGAAGAATGTTCCAGATTCTGCAGCCCATGGGTTTACCAGCTAGGGACTCCCCCCTGCTCCACCCCTACACTCTCCTCTCCTTCCCCCAAGCCTCTTCCCAACGTCAGTAGGAGTGCTTATTACAGATTGTTTGCCACGCGTGGTGGCTCACGCCTGTAATCCCAGCCCAAGGGAGGCTGGGCAGGAAGATGGCCGGCTCCAGGCCATCGCTGGGGCTAGGCAAGCAGAGACCCTGTCTTCAAACAAAAGAAAACCCACATTGCTCCTGGCCCTGTCAGCCCCAGCGGGTCCATCATGGGCTGCACGTGGCACAAAGCTCGATCGTGCCCAGGAGTCAATTCTAAGCTGCAAACTACCCACAGCTGGGCGGAGGCGTGAGCCAATGGAAGGAAGGGGGCCTGGAGAGGAGGAGGAGGAGGCAGCTCCCCGCCAGGCCTAGGGGGATGGGGGGGCCCAGTCTCCTCATCCCACCCCTCCCCGTTGCTTCCATTGCCGGGCAGCTGGTGGAGGAAGGGGCCACGCTGAGGGACGGGCGGGGACGGTTGCCCCAAGGGGGAAGGGCAGAGTGGGGGTCCCGGTCACATGATAGATGCTCATTTTGCCTCAGGGTTGCTGTCCAGGCACTGGGGGTTCTGAGATCTGAGGTCAGACTTCCACACCATAGGTAGAGTTTACTAGTCTCCTTCAGGCTGACTTGTTGTCTCTGGGCCTCAGTTTCCCCCTCCGTGAAATGGCCACGTGATGGGCAAGTGATCATCTTACAGTTCCAGAGGTCCAAACTGGGTCTCACAGAGCCAAGGTTTCCGTCCTTCCCCAGTGACCCCAGGGGAGAATCCATTTGTCCCTTCCATTTCTAGTGACCCTGTTCCTGTCTCAAAGCCGGCCCTTTGCGCCTTCCGATCTGATTCTGCCTCGTCTGCTTCCCTCCCTCATTCAGGCCCCTGGAGATCACATTGGGCCCAGCCGATGGGCATCCGGACCCTCCCTTCCCCCTGGCTGGGTCACGTGGCAAGCTCACAGGTCACAGGGTTCAGGACCCAAGTCCTGATGATTCAGCCTTCTCTCAGGGCATGACAGCCTTGCCCCATGGGGGGTAGAGGGAGCTAATGGGGGTAAACTGAGTCACGGCACTCACCCTGAGAATCAAGCCCCCCGCCCTGCTCTGCGTGTGGCAGCAAGGGCTGTGACTTTTGTTGCTGGAATTGTGGCTGCGTTTTCGTGCCAGGGGAAAGAAGGCACGATGACCGCCGAGCCTCAGTTTTCCCATCCGGGAAATGGGACCGTGCCGCCTTCTCAGTAGTTGGTGCTTGGCGCCAGCAGCGCTGCCTGCAGAGGTGTGTGGCTCACGTGGCTCGGGGCCGCGCGTGGCAGATGTGGGGATCGTGCCCAACTCCAGACAGGCCCCCTCCCTACACACACACTCCCACCTGCCTTTGTGTTGGTTTCCCAGGCCCCTGGGGCTCTGGTTGTGACCTGGGCTCTGCCTAGAGTTTGTGATTCTCTGGTGTTGGTTGTGTTGCTGGGGAGCAGGGTCACCAGACCCAACCTCTCCCACGAGGTGACCCCTGGCTCTTGCCCCGTCCTTCCGACTTAGAACTCCAGGGTACCTGCCCCCTTAGCTCCTGCAAAGGCCCTGGGGTGATAGAGATGGCCTAGCTCACTCCCAACCAATTGCTGGGGTGGTTGGGGGCTGTGGTGTTCACAGCCCCCCCCGAGTTAGGCATGGGGTGGGGTCACAAGTGCTGGGCCCCTGCAGACACTCTCTCTGTGCACCCCGTTCTGAGGTGCCCCCTTCAGTTACCACCCATCACCTGCCATCCTCGCCCTTCCTTTCTCTGGGTCATGGAGCTCTGTGTGCTGAGAGTCCTGTCCCCCAGGGAAGCTGCCAACCATTCTCTCATTGCGGGTTTTTGTTGTTGTTGTTTTGTTTTGAAAAAGCCAGGTGCAGTGGCTCACACCTGTAATCCTAGCTACTCAGGAGGCTGAGATCTGAGGATTGTGGTTTGAAGTCAGTCTGGGCAGGAAAGTCTGAAACGCCTACGTCCAATTAACTATCAAAAAGCTGGAAGTGGGGGCTGGGAATGTGGCTTAGTGGTAGAGTGCTTGCCTAGCATGCGTGAAGCCTTGGGTTCCATTCCCCAGTACCATATAAACAGAAAAAAGCCAGGGGCTGGGAAGGTGGCTCAGTGGTAGAGCACTTGCTTGCATGCCCGAGGCCCTGGGTTCGATTCCTCAGCACCACATAAGCAAAAAGAAAAAAGCCAGAAGTGGCACTGTGGCTCAAGTGGTAGAGTACAAGCCTTGAGCAAAAGAACCTCAGAGACAATGCCCAGGCCCTGAGTTCAAGCCTCAGGACTAGCCCCCTCCCCCCCACCACCAATTTTTTTTAAGTTAGACATGGGCTGGGAAGGTGGCTCAGTGGTACAGCGCTTGCCTTGTATGCATGAGGCCCTGGGTTCGATTTCTCAGTACCACATACGCAGAAAAAGCCTGAAGTGGAGCTATGGTTCAGGTGGTAGAGTGCTAACCTTGAGCTGAAGAGCTGAGGGACAGCGCCCAGGCCCAGAGCTCAGGCCCCACGACAGACAAAAAAAAAGCTGGAAGTGGAGCTGTGGCTCAAGTGGTAGAGCACCAGCCTTGAGCACAAAAGCTTGGGGGTAGCACCCAGGTCCTGAGTTCAAGTTCCCAAGATCAGCACACACACAAAAGAAGTCCAACTAATTCCATGCACCTTAGTACTATAATCCGGGGGCTCCAGTCACACATTGTGGTCTCCAGGTCTGTTTTTTCGTCTGCAATATTGCCATCACAACTACCTAGTTAGACAGCGTCGCAGGGCTGCTACGAGGGCTGGATGTGTTCACAGCCACGGCCGGCACAGAGCCTGGCACACACTGGGTGCCAAGAGAGGGGGGCAATGCCTTCCAGGTCTTCTCCCAGCCCACCCTGCGGGGCAGCTCAGAGCCGCGCTGCCAGGGTCCTTGCCGGGGTCCGGCACACACGGACTCCATCCCGCCCAGCCTCCTGAAGCCTTCCGCAATGTTTGCAACCCACGCTGAGACCAGGCGTGTCCAGCACAACCCCGGAGGGACAGAAACGCAGGCCGTGCTGACGTCATCCTTAATGACCGGAGCCCTGGCCCCGCCTCCCACAGAGCTGTGACATCATCCCCACCCCACCCCTCATCTCCTGAGCCACAGAGCTGCTGCTCAGCCTTTATTGATGCTATGGCTACAGTCCCTGGGGATTCCCAATGGGGGGTCTTCATTAATAACCACTTAAATCTCCGCATTTACTGGGAAAGGTCTAGAACTAGAAAGGACTTCCAAGATGTCAGCCTCCCCAGCAGCTGGCTGGGCTGGTGATGGGTCAGGCTGATCTGGTGTGTGGGGTCTGAAAACTCCTAGACAGAGGAGCCTCCCCCCCATCAGGGGGTGGGGAGAGGAAAGTGGGGGTCACTGCCGCCGTGTGGGCCACAGTGGGGCATCCGGCTCTCGCCTCCCACCTGCAGAACCAGCACTTAGGCTCAAGTACCAGGTCATCAAGTGCATCTGCTCACCGCAGGCCGACATGGTTCAAGGCTTACTCCTTCCCATCCAGGGCCATTCTACTTGTCCTGCAGCCGGCCATTTGTCCTTAGGAAGTCCCCAAACCACAGCACCCACGGAAACTAGAACCGCAGCCGGGTACCCGGGCCACTCACGCCACCCACCAGGCGCTTCAGGGAGACACAGTGCTGGCTTGTTTGAGAAAAGAGTTGCTCCGTGGGGCCCTGAGGAGCCGTTAGGCGTCAGGAGGACCGAGACGTGGGGAGGGACGGAAGAGCCTCGTCCTGGGAGCTCCGGCTGGGGTCGCAGAGGTGGTGGACAGGCCACAATAAATAGAAATACATTTACACAGGGGCAGCCTGGACCCAGAGGCTGCCATCGGAAACTCTGGCACCTTCCAGGAAAAACTAGCCAGGCAGAAACCCAGGCTGGAAGAAGGCTGCAATCTCAGATGCTGGAGGGGCGGGCTGAGACTGGGGCGTTCATCCGTGCTCCTCTGTCGCCTTGAGGAGCCGCTTCCCTGCCATGGCTAGGTCCTCGCGGGGCCTGAGGCAGGGGGGTGTGGGACCGGCTCTGGGAGCACCCGGTCTGCTGACATCAGCTACTGGGGGCCCCTGGGGGGGCGGGTAGGGCAGGAACATTGCAGGATCTCAGAGCAGGGCGATGGGTTTGTTCCCTGCGGGGCCCAGGTACTGGGGGGCCGCGGGGGCCGCCGGGGGGTTTGCGCCGTTGGGAGTGGAGTAGGCGGCGTAGAGGCCCGTCACCTGCACATCTGGGAAGGCACGGTCACTGCAGCCAGGCCCGGGGATCAGAGCTGTGGGGCCCAGGTCACAGCCGAGTGGGGAGTCCCCAAAGGCCCCCAGAGCATCGTCCTTCATCTCCTCCCAGAAGTTCCCTTGCAAAGACAAAAGCAGATGGGTGAGGCGAGCTGGCGTCGCTCCCGCGGGGGCCAGGTCCGTCCCCACTGGGCATGGCAGTCAAGGTCACGTGGCGTAGAGAGAGCTCAGAGGGACCCCAAGTTATAGCCCCGGACCCTGCCACCTAGCCATCTGTGTGTGTGTGTCTGTCTGTCTGTGTGTGTCTGTCTGTGTCTCCATGTGTCCATGTGTCTATCCTTAGCCCCTCCTGTCTCAGCCTCAGCGGACAATGGGGTTGATCAGAACATCTACCTCGAGAGCGAGCCAAGGACAAAGCATTCTTTTCCCTTTCCGTTGAACTCCAAGGCAATCCAGAGCCAGAGGCTGATCTAAACAACCCCATCTTTGGGGACACTGGCTGGCACACTGCATTCATTCATTCATTCATTCTCTCCCACTCCCCCCCCCCCACCTAGGGTTTGACACATCCAAGCTGAGGCTGTTCCTGCAGCAAGCTTGGGGGTCTCAGGTCTGCGGCTGAGGACCTGGCTGACCTGGGGTCACCTGGGGTCACCCTGACTTCACTTCCCACTGCTCAATGTTCTCTGGTGGAACAGAGCCGGGAAGTGGCGGCGGTCTTAGATCACTGGATCTAGTAAGCGTTGAGCATGGACTGGGGCTTTGTATACAGCAAGAACTCATTAGCCGCAGTGTCGGATGGTGGCTGTGGGTGGTGGCAGACAGATGGCTCTTTCCTTTCCTTTATGTTTTGGCCAGGCCTGGGGCTTGAACTCCGAGCCTTGAGCTCTCTCTTGGCTCTTTGCGCAAGCTTGGTACCCTACCACCATTTCTACTTGTAGCTTTTTGCTGGTTAACTGGAGATAAAAGTCTCGCTGACTTTCCTTCCTGGGCTGGCTTTGAACCTCCATCCTCAGGTCTCAGTGTCCCAGAGTTGCTAGGATTGTGAATGTGAGTGAGCCAACGGTGCGGTCTGAGCCCCCCACCCCCCACATGTTCTCTCTACATGCTTCTCTCCACTCCCTCCCTCACCCCCGGGCCTCACCCTGCAGAGCAAAGTCCATGATGCTGGGGTCCAGGGCGTCCACTTCGGTGCTCATGTCGGCGCTGATGTTGAGGAAGTCCCCCGGAGCCCGGCCCATGGTGGGCTGGGGAAGAGGCCCAGGGCTCAGCGCTGCCAGGGCCTGCAGGGGCGGCGTCTGGGCGGGCGCTGGTGAGTCTGGGGCCAGCTGTGCCTGCTGCTGGACCTGCTGGTGGAGGGACAGGGTCCTGGGTGGGAGCTGGGGGACGGCCAGGCAGCTGCGGGCCACGGCCACCGTGGTGGCGTGAGTCAGCACGGGGGCCTCGGGCTCCCCGGCTTTGCCAGGACGCCGGCAGTTTTCGGGCCGGTCGGAGATGAGTTTGTCCAGCTCCTCTGCAGACAAATAGGAGAGGGTCCTCAGAACCCAGCGTGAGGCCTGGGTTCGAGCCCCAGGTGGACTTCACAAGGGTCTCAGATGGTGGGCCCCCGATGACATCACAATGACGTCATGATGGGAGGCCTGAGGGGAGAGGTCTGTCAATAATCACCCAGCCCCTGCCCCTCAGCACCGTGTGTGTGTGTGTGTGTGTGTGTGTGTATGTGTATGTGTATGTGTGTGTGTGTATCCCCGGCCTGTAGCCGGTGCCTCCGCTTGATCCTCGCACCAGCCCAGGCAGAGACCCCAGATCTGGAGACTGAGACCAGATTCTTTCACACTCAAGGCGTCCTTGACCTGAAGATGTGTTGCCATGAGTTCAGAACCGGAGTCTCTTCAATAAAAACAGAAATGACTCTGCCACTGGGCTGTTGGCTATGTCTCGTGGTAGACAAAACAATCTGAGACTGGACCTTTTGGGGAGGTCCCAAGAACTATTTAGGTGACCCTCAGACATGAAGACACTTGGGCTGGGAAGGTGGCTCGGTGGTAGAGCACTTGCCTTGCATGCCTGAGGCCCTGGGTTCCATTCCTCAGCACCACGTACATGGAAAAAGCCAGAAGTGGCACTGTGGCTCAAGTGGTAGAGTGTTAGCCTTGAGCTGAACTGCTAAGGGACAGCGCCCAGACCCAGAGTTCAAGCCCCAGGACCAACCAAAAAACAAACAAACAAAAAGAAGACACTTGGAATCTAGAAGGACAGCATCTCACATGAAATCACAGGTCAAGGGACACCCAAGCTGTCCCACAAGACCAGAGCTCTGTTGGTAGGCACCATGTGTTTTCCTCAGCCCAGGCCTGTTGGTCCTGAGACCAACGTTCCTGGACCTGAGACAAAGCAGCAGACGCAATCTTTCTTTCTTTCTTTTTTTTTTTTTTTTGGGTCCAGTCGTGGGGCCTGAACTCTGGGCCTGGGCGCTGTCCCTCAGCTCTTCAGCTCAAGGCTAGCACTCTACCACTTGAGCCACAGCGCCACTTCCGGCTTTTTTCTTTTTGCTTATGTGGTGCTGAGGAATCAAACAGGGCCTCAGGCATGCAAGGCAAGCGCTCTACCACTGAGCCACCTTCCCAGCCCGGCAATCTTTCTTCTTGCTTATAAAAGCCATTTTGCTTATAAAAGACAGTTTGAAAATTTTACAGAAATGTGGAGAATGTAAAAATGATCAGCGATCTCTCCCCTGGTGGGAAGTGGGTGCATTTTCTTCCCCATGCTTTCTCCATTCATGCAGATTTGTATATGTGTATGCATATCTATATTATTAAATGAGTTTGGGGGTGAAAGGTGGGAAAGTGGGGCACTTTAAAATGTGCTCATTCCAGGCGCTGGTGGCTCACGCCTGTCATCCTAGCTGCTCAGGAGGCTGAGATCTGAGGATCACAGTTCAAAGTCAGACAGGGCAGGAAAGTCCATGAGACTATTATCTCCAACAAACCATTCAGAAAACTGGAAGTGGTGCTGTGGCTCAAGTAGTAGAGTACTGGACTTGAGCTGAAAGCTGAGGGACAGCTCCTAGGCCCAGAGTTCAAGCCCCATGACTGGCAAAAATAAAAAATAAAAAGATGTGCTCATGCTGGGTGCATGGATTCAAAAGCTTGTCCCTTTCATTTAGTGCATTGGGAGAATTTATATTCCAAAAATACTTTTTGAAAACTTATATACTACTAAGGTATCTAATTATGAGATACTTAGAATGTTTTCCTTTTTTAACTTCTTACAGTGTTGTAATGGATAGCTTCCGTAAGAAACTTTTTGGTGCTACCAAGTATGGAACTCAGAACTTTTTTATGCTAGGCAAGTGTTCTGTGCTACCCTCTCCCCTCTTTTAGGATTCTACTTCGGGGTGTTTGAACTTGGGGGTCTCTTCTTGCTAGGAAGGTGCTCTACTGCTTAGTCACGCTCCCGCCATTGCTTCTTTTTTGTTTAGAGAAAAGGACTGGCCACTGTAGCCCAGACTGACCTAGAATCCTTGATTCTTTTGCCTTAGCCTGCTGTGTGCTGAGATTACAGGAATACACTATGACACTGGGCTCCATAAAACATGTCTCCCTCCTCAAATTTTTGATTCCCTCAGCATAAATAGTCAGATGTAGAAAAATTGGACCAACCTATAGATACAGCTTGCAGGGTATGTGTGTGTGTGTGAGAGAGAGAGAGGGGGGGGAAGGAGGGAGGGAGGGAGGGAGGGAGGGAGAAAGTTTCATGTGTAGCCCAGGCTGGCCTCAAACTCATGATCTTCCTGTTTCAGCCTCCTGAGCATTGGGATTACAATGTGTACCACCTTGCCCAGGTCAATTTGCAGGTTTTCAATATATTGCTTTGTCCTTAAAACATGTCACCTAGCTAGGCACCAATGGCTCATTGCCTGTAATCCCAGCTACTCAGGAGGCTGAGATCTGAGGGACGATGTTTGAAGCCAGTTGGGGGAAGGAAACTCTGTGAGACCCTGATCTCCCATTAACTACCAAAAAGTCAGAAGTGGAGCTGTGGTTCAAAATGGTAGAGTGCTAACCTTGAGCAAAAAAAGCTCAGGAAGCTGGGTGCCAGTGGCTCACGCCTGTAATCTTTAGCCACTCAGGAGGCTGAGATCTAAGGATCATGGTTCCATGCCAGCCCAGGCCGGAATGTCTGTGAGACTCTTTATCTCCAGTTAAGCACCAGAAACCCAGACATGGTGCTGTGGCTCAAAGTAATAGAGCACTAGCCTTGAACTAAAAGAGCTGAGGGACAGCACCCAGGCCCTGAGTTCAAGCCCCACGACTGACAACAAAAAAAAAAAAGTCATCCTTTACATTTACATCGCTACCCATTTGGTACAAAGGGGCCAATATTCCCCCATCTAGGCCCCGCAGGCACTATTCATTGGTTAAGTTCGACATCACTGCCACCATGGTCAGGAAGGAAGCAGTAAAGGCTGTATGTTGTCCCATGACTCTGTGTGACAAACTTGGGGTGACAGTGAGATGGGGTGGGGGTGGGGAGCCTGCACTCCAGGCCTCTGTGTCCCCTTCACCCTGGCTGAGACCCGAGGCAGGTCCTGGGCTGAGCTGGGGGAGAGCTACTGTGTGCACGCGCGTGTGTGGCCGTACAGCACGCAGGTGTTACGTGTGATGGGTGTGCACACGTGTGTGTGTAAGGCACACAGGCGTGCAAGGCTTCTGTGTGAGTGCGGCCTGTGCGATGCTGCACGGGTGGGTGTGCATGCTCCTGCGCGTGCGTGTGCGCCTGCGCGCCCGGGCGTGTCCTGCGTGTGCGCCTGTGCGCTCGGGCGTGTCCTGCATGTGCGCCTGCGCGCCCGGGCGTGTCCTGCGTGTGCGCCTGCGCGTGCGGGGCCTCACCCGGGTTGGCCATGCTGCGGTGGATGGCCGCCAGGTCCTTCCTCTTCCACTTGTGCATCTCCTCCTCCATCTTGTCGATGCGCGCCAGGTTGAGGGCCCACAGGCAGCCCTTGCGCGAGGAGCCGCTCAGCTTGCTCTCCACCTTCTCGAAGCACTTGTTCAGGGACAGGTTGTGCCGCACCGAGTTCTTCCAGCCGTCCGGGGCGGTCTGCGGGGTGACACGCGGGGCCCGGGGGCCCCCACATTCCTTCCTCGCCTGGGTGCCCCCCCCCCCGCTCAGCAAGTGGGGTTCCGAGACTCAGCGTCCAGGGAACCGGGGAGGGACCGGCCGGGTCCGCGCCCCGCGCATGCGCACGCGCCCTGGGCGGCCCTGTTTGTGCTGAGGCCGCTGTCTGTCCAGGCTGTCTGTCCTACACGGATCAGGCCTTTCTGGTTTCCTGCTCTCTCTCTCTCTCTTTACTTTGATGTGAACAGGGGTAACTTGACCCATGCCAGCGGCTGCCAGGAGCTTCCTGGTTAAAACCTTCCCCCCTCACTTGCCAGCTGGGGACTTGTGTTGTGCTGAGGCCCAGAGACTGTGCTGAGTACCAAGGCCTAGACTTTCTGCCCCTCCTGAGATGCGTGAACTCCTCTTCCTCCGTCAGAGCCCAGTTTCCAATGCCCACCTCCCTATTTAATTTGCCTCCATTGTCAGTACACTCTTTACTCCGGGTATACAGACAAGACTGGAGGCAAAAATAAATACATAAAAAATGGCCCAGGGCTGGGAAGGTGGCTCAGTGGTAGAGCGCTTGCCTTGCATGCTCGAGGCCCTGGGTTCGATTCCTCAGCACCACATAAGCAAAAAGAAAAAAGCCGGAAGTGGCGCTGTGGCTCAAGTGGTAGAGCGCTAGCCTTGAGCTGAAGAGCTGAGGGACAGCGCCCAGGCCCAGAGTTCAGGCCCCACGACCGGACCCAAAAAAAAAATGGCCCAGTTTGGTGCCCAGAAGAGGGCCGAGGCAGGGGCAGCCTGAGGACCCCCCCAGCCTGGCTGGACCCTCACCTTGAAGTAGGGGAAGTGCTCTTTCATAAAGCTGTAGATCTCACTCACGGGCAGGCTGCCCGTCTTGCTGCTCTTCAGGGCCATAGCGATCAGACAGCTGCGGGGGTGGGGGGGGAGCAGAGGAGAGGGAGAGGAAGAAGGAGAGAGGGTGGAGAGGGGCCTCAGGAGACAGCCCCAGGTCCCCTCTGCTGGGAAGTCTGTCCTTCTCCCCCGCACTGCTACTAAACCTAAACACACATCCAGGGTTTGTCCCTGGACCTCTTCTTGACCCTGGGCTCAGCTGCTGCTTCCTCTCTTCCTCCCAACCCCATAACCAACACCTACAAGCCTTTATCTAGCCCCGCCCCCACCCCGCCCCACCTATCACTGCAGTGACTTTTCACCGTCGAGGAGACTGAGGCTCAGAGAGGCCAAGCACCTCCCCAAGGCCACACAGCTCGTGCCCGATGGAATGTCCATTGTCTGGAGCGGCATCTCTACCTCAGGGACTTGTCTGAGTACATGATGGTCATTCTGGGGGAACGGGTCTCCATGGGAGGGGGTTCCTCACTCCCCCTAATCACCCCTGCAGGGGCCCTGAAGGGGGTCCTGTCCCCTCCCCAGAACAACCCCTCCCCCCAATCTCACCTGTAGGAGTAGATGGGCTTGGGGTAATGTTTGGGGTGCAGTTCTGGAGATGAACTTGCTGCCATGGGGGTCTGGGGGTATGGAGGCCGGGCCGCAAATGGGGAACCATAGAGGCCCATGGGATGATACTTTCACAGGCAGAGACAGAGAAGCAGGTGAGGCAAGCTGGCAGTCACAAAGCCCCCCCCCCCGCCCCGGTGCAGTGTGGGGGGTGAGGTGGATTCCAGCCACGGGAAACACCCTGTGCCCCAATAGTGGGCACAGGAAACACCTTGTTCCCCCCCCCCCATACAGGGTCAGGGTGCGGAAGATGAAGGTATACTGAGGCTCACACAGGTGCCAGGCCGGGCCAAGGCAGGGGTGTCTGCCTCCAGCCCCCCCCCACCTACCTGCTGAGCCGCCGTGGGAAGGGGGAAGGGGAGCTGCGTGGCGGGCGTGTACAGCGATGGGGGGTCCTGAAGGCTTGGGGCTGGCTGGCCCCCTGCTGGGAGCTGGCTCAGGTGCTGGAAGCAGCCGGAGGACAGAGGCTCAGCATGGAGGGGGGGGGGGAGTACCTTCTCCCTCCCCAACCACGCAGCTGCACTTACGCTGGCTCCATGGCTGCCTATGGGGCCGAGACCCAGCAGGCCTCGCGGGGCCATGCTGGACGAGGCGTGGAGCGCGGGGCCCGGGGTGGGGGCCATGTGCAGGTCAGCAGCCCTCGCCAAGGCACCTGTGGGGGAGAGGGAGGCACAGCGAAGGCTGGGGGATTGGTGGCTGGGGCCGGAGTCAGCCCTGTGCCCTTTTAGGAGCGGTACACAGTGGGTGGTTGGCAAGTCTCTTTGCTGGGGTAGACCGGGGCTGAGCCTGTTTCCCTCCTTGTACTTACCTGTAAAAGATCTGAGGGGTAGTGAATACTGTCTACCACACACTGAGAACATGTTCAGCATGTGAGAACAATCTCCACAAAGATGCAGCACTAAGAAATGCAAGCTACAGTTCATGGTTTATTTCTTCTCCTCAAACACAAAAACAATCACAACAGCAATCTCCATAGCTCCCCCATGTGCCAAGCCTGTAGCTCCAGGAATAGCATGTGTGACCATCACCTGTGCGGGGCCCGTGACAGACATGGCTAATCTACCCCAGAGTCTCATGACAGCAGCTGGATCTTAGTCAGTGCTGATGAAACCAAGTTGACCTGCAAAGTGGAAGGGCCTTCCTTGTCTGAGCATCTATTGCCCACCAGCTGTTGAAGTGCTTCTCATACAGCTGGCTCGTGCTGCCCCCACAAGAGCAGAAACTGGTCAGAGGAGAAAGCACTTGCCTCTAAGGGCTCTACATTAGGGTTAGAGACCTGAGCCAAAGCTTGGTTTGTGAATAAAGTTTTATTGGCACATAGCCATGTCTATTCATTTGCTTACTGCCAGTGGTTAGTTTTGTACTACAGCAATATATATATATATTTAAAAATCAAATATACATATATATATTTATTTAAAAAGCAAATTTAAAAATAAATTTAAAAAGCAAATTTACTGGACCCTCTGTATACATGCTTTGCTCAGGACTAATTTGCCCACTGAGATAAACATTGCTAGACACCAGGCTTTGACTGACTGTGCATTAGTGGGTTACTGATAAGGTTTGTCATTGTTTGGTTTTTCTTCAACCCGTTTCTTTTTTTCTTTTGGTCAGTCGTGGGGCTTGAACTCTGGGCCTGGGCGCTGTCCCTCAGCTCTTCAGCTCAAGGCTAGCACTCTACCGCTTGAGCCACAGTGCCACTTCTGGCCTTTTCTGTTTATGTGGTGCTGAGGAATCGAACCCAGGACCTCAGGCATGTGAGGCAAGCACTCTACCACTGAGCCGCCTTCCCAGCCCTTTCTTCAACCTGTTTCGAAGCATTTAACCCCTTGCTGTGATCACAACGTGCTGACAATTATGACACCTACTGTATGCCAGGGTTCCTTTGAGTCTTCTAGAATAGAGACAGCAAACTTCCTTATCAGGCACTAGGTAGCAGATATTTTAGGCCTTGCCAGCTATGTGGTTTTTGTCCCTTTCCATTCCTTTCTATTCTTTTCCTTTCCTCCATTCCTCTCTCTCTTTCCCTTCCTTCCCTCCTTCCTCCCTTATCTCTTCCTCTCTTCCTCTTTCTCTCTCCTCCTTCCTCCCTTCCTTTCCTTCCTCCCTCTCTTCCTTTCCTACCCATTCTTTCCTTTCCTCCATTCCTCTCCCTCCTTCTTTCCTTTCCTTTCTTTCTTTCTTCCTTTCCCTTCCTTCCATCCTTTCTTTCTTTCTTTCTTTCTTTCTTTCTTTCTTTCTTTCTTTCTTTCTCTCTCTCTCTGTCCTCCTCCTTCTCTCTCCTTCCTTCCTTTCCTTCTTACCTCCCTTTCCTTTCCTTTCCTTTCCCATTCTTTCCTTCCCTCCCTCCCTCCCTTTCTCTCTCTCCCTTTCTTTCTTCTTTCTCTTTTGTTCTCTCTTTCCAGTTCTTGAAAAATAACCATTCTTGTGTGTGTGTGTGTGCTCACACACGTGTGCACACTGGTATTTGGGGCTTGAACTCAAGGCTTATGCTCTACCACTTGAGCTCCACATCTGGCTTTTTGGTAGTTAATGGAGGTAAGAATCTCACAGACTTTTCCTGCCTGGACCAGCTTTGAACCTCAGTCCTCAAGTCTGAGTCGTTGGCATTACAGGGTGAGCCACCCTTGCCCGGTACAGAACCATTCTCAGCGCTTGGAAGAAACGGGCCTCGGCTGCATTGGGCCCTCGGCCTACAGGGGGATCAGGGGGCAGCAGGGCGGGGGCAGGGCTGTCTTTCCTGTGGCTGCTGCAGGCGCTGCGCTCCCCGGTGTGAAGGCTGGCAGAGGGTGGAACTCACCCCACTTTGTGGATGTGGAGTTGGAGGCCCAGAGACAGAAAGCCGCCCGCAGCCACGCTGCCCCAGCCCCTCGCCCTGCATACCTGGGTGCGGATGTGGCCCGGCGGGGCCGCCCAGCTCCATGCGGACGTTGGCCATCTGCTGCAGCCGGGGCACGTCCACGGCGGTGAGCCACGACAGCGACTGCAGGTCCCCCGGCAGGTCCTCATCGCGGGTGGGCGGAAGGAGGCTGCGGAGAGGAGCGGAAGCTCGGGCGGGAGGGGGAGCTACAGCCAGTTGCTGGTGGGAGGGGGCTGCCTGGCCTCTAGAACACCCCCCGGCCCCTGCACCTGCCCCTTGTGGGGACTGGACATGGGAGCCTGGCCCCGGGGTCCCCGTACATCCTGAGTGCTCCTTGAACTTCACACCCAGTCCAGATGGTTATCCATAACTTCCCAGGTGCCCAGCCCTGATGCAGCTCTGTTACTCCAACGGGGCAAAGATTCCTTTCCAGGGTACACATCCTTAATCCGCCCCTCCCCCCAGTCTGCCAGGCTCCAATTCCCCGCAGTGGAACACCCCACACCCAGGTTCATTCCTAGGGCCACAGTCAAACTGAGGTGTGTGGGAAATCCTAGAGGAAATCAACCACCCTGAGGTTATATGGATAAGATACTCCAAGAAGCCAGGCACTGGTGGCTCACGCCTGTAGTCCCAGCTACTCAGGAGGCTGAGATCTAAGGATCACAGTTCAAAACCAGTCCCGGCAGGAAAGTCCATGAAATGGACTCTTATCTCTAATAAGCCACAAAAATTTACCAGCGCACGCACACACATACACACACAAAGGACACAGTACATACCATCAAGCAGAGTTAGGGGTGTGGCTGAGTGGTAGAATATTTGCCTAGCACGCACAGGGTGCTGGGTTTGGTTCCCTTCCCAAACCCTATGTGTAAGATACATATAAAAACGAATGGATTGGCCAGGCACTGGTGGCTCACGCCTGTAATCCTAGCTACTCAGGAGGCTGAGATCTGAGGATCTCGGTTCAAAGCCAGCCCGGGCAGGAGAGACTGTGAGACTCCTATCTCCAATAAACCACCAGAAAACCGGAAGTGGCACTGTAGCTCAAGTGGTAGAGCGCTCGCCTTGAGCTGAAGAGCTGAGGGACAGTTCAAGCCCCACGGCCGACCAAAAAAACAAAAACAAAAAAAAATGAATGGATTTAACATTTAGTCTTGAGTCCCATCACTGAGAAATCTCATTATGTCTATGAAAATGTTACAAAATCTAAAGCAAAATGT